GACACCTCCTGTCGTCTCTTCGACATCCGTGCGGATCGGGAGTTGAACATCTATCAGGTAAACTCGTGTTCTTGTTCACGATTTCTGCCGCGTTCATGGCTAATGAGACTCACCTGCTGCAGAGCGATCAAATCCTTTGTGGCATCACGTCTGTTGCTTTCTCAGTCTCTGGACGATTGCTTTTCGCCGGTTATGATGACTTCGAGTGCAAGGTATGTGCACGGTACAACTATTCATTGCAACAGGGGCATAAGCTGATGTTTGCAGGTCTGGGATGTTCTTCGAGGTGACAAGGTCGGTTCTCTGAGCGGCCACGAGAACCGTGTCAGCTGCCTCGGAGTCAGCAATGACGGCATCAGTTTGTGCACCGGATCCTGGGATTCTCTTGTAAGTGCCTTGAAAGCCTTAATGACACCCAGCTTTTATCTTCTTCATTATTTCACGAATCACTAATCTTTCTATCCGTGGTACAGCTCAAGGTTTGGGCCTGGTAAAAGAACAGAATCATCGAGCAAAGATACCCCGTCTCAGTCTTTTGCGATTCCATTTTTCGACTTCTTTTCTATTCATTTTCTGCAACAATAGGTTGGATGTCCGCCGTTGTACGATACATTTTCATATTTTTCAGGAGCAATGTCCGCTTTTAATCTTCTATCCGGAACTACAAAAGACGTTTGCGGGGAGCGGGACGAGCGAATCACTTGGGCCTAGATCAAGGTGATTGGACACTTGATCGAGATTTTGGGAACACTTCAGATGCTGGTCGTGGGGGCGAATTAATGAATCCGAAAATCTAGGTGACAACGTTCGATGGCTGATGCGGTGTGCGCGCTCATGTTATCTTTGCTTTTTCTTTTCTATTTTGATGATGACCTTGATCTACGAGCGCCCCTAGGATGGCTGGCTGAGGAGTGTTCTCATAGCCTGGACTCACCATCCACGCACGCACTCCTTCTGCAGTGAACAGTGGTGAGACCGACACACGTCCGCGTCCTTGAGCACTTCTTCGTTCTTCTAATTTCCCCATTTTCCCTTACAGAGGGATTCTCTCTTGCAAGCCTATCCTATACCTTTGCCCCTTTCGTCTGTCATGTCCTATTCCCGTCTTTATATGGTCGCTTTTCTTTTGGTCTTACGGGACTCTTCATTATTTCTGATTTCTCTTCTCCACCAAGCTAAGCCTTTGAGTGCTTTTTCTTTTGCCTATTCATATGTGATCAGCCTCTCTTGCGCAGTGACTTTCTTTTTGCATGTATTCATCTTGCGGCTGATAGGACGGGAGGGAATGTTTTCGAATAGGGCCATGACGTTTTCCTTTGTCTGACTTGTGGCGAATGTTCTCTTGGTTTGCTGCTTTTTTAACTAATTAATTTGACATTACAAAAATCTATTGTCGATTTCAGAATTGAACTTTCCTGGTTTCTTGAGCTACGGCTGCCGTCATCAGGCGGCTCTCGACCTCCTGTCAGCGGGGCTTGGCTGGCACGATATGGGCGATGAGCCTGCGGGTAACATATGGGTGTGTTTGAAAGCACTCAATAGCTTTGAGTTTTGCTTCGGTTTGGGCAGGCTTGAAGATTGGGCATGTTTCGCATGAGTCTGACAGTCTCTTGACACGACTGAGGCAAACCAGACTCTCCTACATGCCATGTAAGGGTCGGGGTAGACGTGATTGAGGTTTGGCCTAGAGGGCTTCAGGGTCCGAGTTTCACCAGAAAGCATGGTGCCATTGAAACGCAGGAGCTTAGCAGCGGATCGAGGTACTATCATCATTCGACTAGGAGGGCATGATGTTTTGAACGGTCCCACGAATGAAACTCAATCGGCTGTTGGCCTGCGTGAATCTACCGGTTCTTGACTTCAGGTAGCAAGCAAGCAAGCTACCTGACATATGTGTAAATGCATTTTCCGGGTGACATGCGGAAGCGGCCAGTCAAGATGGAGAGGTTAAGAGCTGAAATGGTCCGACGCCTTGGTTGTCTCTTTTCCATCCCGCACGGAGTACTCCCATGGAGAGCCAGGTGCGTAGCGGACCACGTTGGAGCGCTGGGCGGCTGGTAAGTAGGCATCACGACATCCTATCCTATGCTGATAAACTTAAAAGCCATGGACATGTCCTTGGCAGTCAGCAGAGGATCCAGGCTAGTACATGAGTGGTGATAATTGCGGCGACTGCGTCATAACTGAGGGACTTGCGAGTTGCGATTTGGGGATGGGGAAGAGTTTGTTCGGGCTGTTCGGGAGCATCGCCATCGTTATGTCGTTGATCTGCCATCTGAAACATCTTATCCCACGTGGCTTGATGCTCCTGACGACGGTCATAACCATGTGTTGAGGTAATGAAACAGCGAACAGCAGTCAGCAGACTGATACTCTGTACAGAGTACCTTCATAGTGGATTAACCTTGATGAACTTTTGAACTTCATTTTCCTCCGTACAGAGTACTCCTTTTTGATATCAGGTGATATGGGACATTCTAGCCATGAGCAGAGAGGGAATGTTCTTCGCTTCTTCTAGTGGTGTGTGGCATTAATCATTCATTCATTCATTCATTCATTCATTCATTCATTCATTCATTGATTAGTCTAAGATTTGATACATCAAGAAACACACCTCAAAGGGTCAAAAAGTGGCTGAGATGAGATGGATCTTCACCACCTGAAACACAGGGGGATCCGAACCACAAAAGATGATTGGTTCCTATTCTTGTTCTGCTCGGAGCTAGAACACACGCTAGTCCATCAGGCTAACCCCAAAGCGACAAGAATCGTCGGGGTGGTTCGACTGTTTCATCTGCCCACTCAGTCACTAGATTTCCCCTATCCATCTAAAGTTCTATCTACCCCTCTAAACCCTGCAAAATTGAATCCCTTTTTCCTTTGCTACAGGTCTACCCTTGACTAAAGTGATCTATCTCCTCATTCAACGCTCAATTGCGGAATTGATCGGCGTGGCTGGTCTGGAGTACAATATTAGTCTCGCTCTTGTCAACGAGCATCTCTCCAATAGCGGCCATAACCCCGACTGTGGTTCAGGGGAAAAAAGAGAAACCAGCATCCGACATTCTGAAACCAACCGCAGTCATCGTCCTCGTCATCATCTTTTGCCTTCTTGGGCCATAGGGCTACCGCTTATCGTTCTCTTCGTTTGCTTTTTTCCTTCGAATTAGAGTTCTAGAACCGGACTCGAGTATTCTAGCCAGAAGGCAAAAAAGGAAAAAGAAAAAAACAAAAAAATAAAAAAAGAGAAAGTGTGATCGTGATTGACTTTCCTGGTCTGCGAGCTGAATTCGGGACACGAACATCATCGTCATCTACCTACCTACCCTTTAAAACTTGGCCTCGACCCCCACCCCGTTCCCTCCGGCTTCCTTTCTTTTCGCCATGTCTGCTCAAGACGAGTTCAACAGCCTTGTTACCAACAATCAGGAGAAGTTCTCTAGTCATCCCGAGGACCGAGATAACTCTGATCGCGACTCCGAGCCACCCTCTGACGACGACACCAACGGCGACGACCACGCACACCTCTCAGACTCGGAAGACTTTGACGGTACCGCCATGGGTTCACGGACAAATACATATCAGGTCCCCAGGACCAAGTTCGACGCCAACACAGGGCCCAAGGGCGTCATTGCTGATGCCCAGGCCTTCGAGCGTGCGCGCAAGCGCTCCTTCCGCAGAACCCTCCTCAGTGCCACGGGAATGGACTATTCGCATCACCGTTCCAACTCCAAGTCGATCACTGATGATGCCAATCTTCTGCAGAACTCATCGCCGCCGGATTGCTCCGCCAGCGAGGAGGACGAGGAGCAGTTCATGCGCAAGTGGCGGGAGTCGCGTATGCAGGAGCTGCAGAATCGGAAGCTACGACGTGCCAGTCCTCGGAGGAAGATGTACGGTTCCGTCGAGAAGGTGGATGCGGTGGGATTTCTAGACGCTATCGAGAAGGTTTCCTCGGATACGGTCGTGGTGGTGTGTGTGTACGACCCGGAGGTGAGTAGTATACTTCCGAAGGAGGCTCGCGGAGCGCACAACTGACAACGAACGCAGTCCAACGTCAGCTCCCTCGTGGAAGACTGCCTGGATACCATTGCGCGCAGGCAACCAACCGTCCGCTTCGTCAAGCTGGACCATGAAATCGCCGAGATGGACCACATTGACGCCCCTGCTCTGCTAGCTTACAGAGCGGGTGACGTCTTCGCTACTATCGTTGAGATTTTAAAGCAGATTCCTAAAGGCCGGAGCTGCAGTGCAGACAGTCTCGAAGATCTACTCAAATCGTATGTTGATTGCCAAGCGTCTCCTTTTCCTTCCATCGTCTGCTAACTCTATACACAGCTACCGAATTCTATAGACCTTTTTTTTTTTGACGTCTTCTCATATCTCTCTTCATGTAACGCAATTTCATTTCTCCACTAGAATGAGCACAGCGGGCGCATCGGGCTTGTCTTTTTCTTCCAGTCTATTTCTCATTTTCTCTACAGGATCTTGTTTTGACGCCTATCATCATTTGATTTATTCTTCACGAGGCATTGCTTTCATGGACTCATTTGGTGATTTGCCTTCTGGGTTCTCCACCCGTCTGGTATCGTGCTGTTTCTCATTTGTCTCTGGCCCTCGTCTGCATGAACCTTGAGATATCCAAGTCGTTTCGGTTTTCAGATTCTTTTGTTCTTCTGGGCATATGGCGTTCATCTCTCGATAGACTGATTTTCTTGAAGATATTGTCATCTCATTTGATTGGAATTGGGCCCTGTCCTTGATCATGTCTCTTTGTTGTTTCATTAGTCACTAGGATCATTGCTCTCTCCAGCTCCCTACTTCTTGGAAATCTTCCCTGTATGAAGGCCACTCCTCAACCCAACGAACCTTGATCGAACCAGAAATACAAATCAGGGTAAGTGGGGGCAAAATAAACATGATCCGGAAGAAGAAAACAATTGGAATACGCGTTTAGAAAAAAAGAAATGAAGAAAAGAAAAATTAAAAGAAGAAAGCGACTACAGAGCCCCCTTCTCTTGTGTAAAGTCCCACAGCATCTTGATCAGGTTGTCCGGTAGGGTATAAAGGTCGACGTGGAATTCGCCCTCTGCAAGCAAGCGATACCGGTTAGCAAAGTTTCTCAAAGATGAATTCACTTGTGTAAAGGCAAGACGTACGCTCGACATCGTTCTTGGTATACGAGTCGGGCGCTTTGTGGTCGTGTACCATCTGCACGACCTGGAGGAGGTCGTCTTCTCCAAGTCTTTGGAGGCCGTCGGCCAATTTGTCCATGTCGACCTGTTGCGGGAGGAGGTTAGTTAACGTGCCGCCTTCGCCTGAAAAGATTCTCGACGGTGAAGAAATCAGACTCACATTCTTTTCCGTCCGCTTCTTCTTTTTCGATCCCTCCTCGCCTCCTGCGGCGCGTTTCGATTTCACTCCGTTCTCGTCACCAGGTACCGGTCCCGACTCGCGCAGTGCAGCCAACAGCGCTGGCTTGGGGTTCTTGAATGTCTGCAGAGATAGAGGCATGAGTACAAGCGCGCCTCAGGCCATAGGTCGTGCGGGAACGCAAGGGCTAGTGCTCACAATGACATGTTTGGACTCGTAGCGCGGCTGTGCGAAGTTCAGGTCGTGCGTCACGAAGTGTTCTTTATCGGCGGCAGTGAGGCCGATCTGCAGGTCAAATTCACCCCATCCCTCCTCCGAGATTCTGAATGGGGGGTTCTTGAATGCTGTTGTTTGACGCGGTGCGTGTCAGCCTCGATTCATCGCCTTACACAAACATCATTCGTCCTTTTGCCTCTTGACGACAAGACTGGGATAGCAATGGCGGAAAAGGAAGCGACCTACTCTGAACCGCCCGGTCCCCGAAACTGGGATGCAACGTGTATGTCACCTTGTCGAAGACGTTCGCCGGCACCTGCTCGCCATGTTCGTTGACGAGGTAGATCTCAATCGACCACGATCGGAGTGGGAATCCTTCAACGCCGGAGTCCTTGTTTCTAGAGTAAGCAAGAGCAAGCGTCAGCACCCCACTAGACACAAAAGGCAGAACCACCAGCTCTATTCATTAAGGCTTGTAGAAAACGGAAGCGCGTAGCGACACCCTGACCACGCGCGCGCGCAGTATGCTTCAGACAATCACAAAGTGTATCATAAGGCATGGGAAGACGGATCGCTCTTGCGCGGTTCCGACAGCAGAGGAGTATGAGAGAAGTCAACGTACACGACATGCTGCTCCGTTACCAGCCGGACTGTTCTCTTGACCTACGCGGCAGTGAAAAATATCAGGGTCAGCATCATGCGATAGCAGCAAAGCGATCGGTACCTGCGTCAAGCATCGGACGGCGTAACGCAGGAACTCCATTGATCGGGTGAATCAGACGGACTCACATCGGGCATTTTGCCAGCGGGCCTCTGTTAGGCTGACCGTAGATCGGAGGTGTCAGAAAACAAGGAAGAGCGGTCTTTTGTACGGTGTCTCCAGCGAAGAGTACTGCAATGGGAGACAAAGAGCTATCGGGCTCAAGGGTCGCGCGAATCAAGGTGAAGCGAGGTTGGATGTTTAGCGCCAAGCCTGCGGAGAAATCAGAAATTCGGACTGAAATGCAGGTGTCCAATGTCGACCAGCTGTAGTAAGCTCCAAGTAAGCTTTATTTATTGAGAGCTCAGGTGAAAATGAATGGAGAAGATAGAAACGTGAGAGGAAAGAGAAGGCGTTTTGTGCAAGTCTCGTCGATGCTGTCAAGTGGGGGAAGAGTGGGCAGAGAGCAAGAGGGCAGTGTGGCCCGCCACCAGTGAGCGGAAAATACACACAAGGTCGCGTTCATCTAAACCTCCAGTGCAGAACGTTGAATGAATTGGAGGTCAACTGGCCGTACCACCAGACCTACGAGAAGATACATGCCTTTCGTCAAACGACTTGTTCATAGCGATACGGAATTACAAGCAGCTCCGCTTACATCTATGCCTGCTATTGAGTATGCGCAAAAGAGACCAATCACTGCACAAGAAAAGTTCACAGAGCAGATCTAATAATTAGGAAATTTCGTACATTAACGTGGGGGTGTATGCATGCATATATTCGAGGGGATAAGATGTCTATCTACCACCAAATTTGTTCGAACGTCCAGGCACGCGACATCACCTGTCAGACGTCCAGGACGCGGTGAATCTGATGCTCGGTCGACTCAGGGTCTCATTGCCACCAGCATACAGAATCGTTTGCGCATTCATGTGAAAATGTCGGGGGGAAGGGGAGGAGCTGTT